TATTTTTGGATATTAACCCCTATTGGATACATGATTTACACATATCTTCTCCCATTCAGTAGGTTGTCTTTCGTTTTGTTAATGGTTTCCTTTGCTGTGCAGAAGCTTTTTAGTCTGATGACAGATGGAAACTACACTTTTGGTGGTGAGCGCACTATAGTATATACAGATGTTGAATTATAATGTTGTACACCTGAAACCTATATGTTATAAACCAATGTTACCCGCCCCCAAAAAAAGATACAAATCAAATCCTCTTCAACTCAACTATAATATCTTAGTTGAACTTATTTTTTCACCTGAGCTACTGAAATAATCTCCTCGTTAGCCACCTGAGGCATCTCCTTCCTCCACAGCATAGCATCCTCAGTATTGCCATGAGGGTTATTTCTCTATAACTGGATTTTACCATGCTTCTCCTCTACTTTAAACTCTCCAATGATAAAGTCCTAACTCCTTGGCAGAGCATGACCTTTTAGGTACTCAATGTTCACTTAATGATCAAATAACATATATATTTCTTATTTCTCAGCTAGACTGTAAACAACTTGAAGGAAGAAACTTTTGTTAATCTTTGTAGTTTTGGCTAACATGTTTGATGAATTATTTAGCTGGGCTCAAACCTAAAGCCTAAACAGACTTCCAAACTCATCCATCTTTGTTCCCCTCTTCACATGACAGGCCGTCTTCTAAGCTCTGACCCCTAAATTTACTAACTGCTGGCTATCATTTATGATAGCTATTGAATAAACAATGCTGACAGCAGTTTGCATCTATTTTCTTATTTAATCCCAACAACCTTACGAAGTGGGCATTTTTTATCCCTACTTCACAGATAAGGAATTAGAAGTTCAAGGCAGTTACCCAGCTTTGAGCAAGTTTCAGAACTAAGGATGGAGCTGGGACTGGAGTCTGTATCAGGCTGATTCTAAGTTCTTGTAATTGAGCACAGTAATGCTATCGGCTTTGTCTCCTCAAGTCTTTCATCTACTGTTATAGGCTCAGTTACCTTCCAAATTCCTTAAATATCAGGTGTTTTTCTACTCCCTAGGTCCTTGGACAACACCTCAGTCTGGTGTCACATTAAAACTGCTCTCCTAACGAGCTCTGGCTGCTCATTCCAGTGGAGTCATCCTCGGCATTCTCCCTGCCGGAGTTTCTCATTTCATCTACCTCCTGCTCGTAGACACTCCAATTCAGTTTCATAACCAGTGGTTTTCATGTGGTCCCCGAGACCCTTTCACGAGGTCCACAGAGTCAAAACTATTTTCATAATAATTGAAAAATGTCGGGCCGGCCCCGTGGCTTAGCGGTTAAGTGCGTGCGCTCTGCTGCTGGCGGCCCGGGTTCAGATCCCGGGCGCGCATTGACGCACCACTTCTCCAGCCATGCTGAGGCCGCGTCCCACAAACAGCAACTAGAAGGATGTGCAGCTACGACATACAACTATTTACTGGGGCTTTGGGGAAAAAAATAAATAAATAAAAATTATAAAAAAAAAAAAAGAAAAATGTTTCTTTGGGGGTTTTGTTTAGTTTCTTTTTTAGTACGTTGGACATTTGTAATAATGGGGCAAAGGCAAGTGGGAAAAACTGCTGGCACCTTAGGATGAATCAAAGCAATGGCACCACACTGTTCTAGCATAAGTCACTGTATTCTTCTCCAGCGCACACTCATAGCAAAACAGATGCCAGTTTCACTTAAGAAAGTCCTTGATGAAGCAGTACAAGCAAATTATTAAATCTCAATCATTGAGTACGTGTGCGTCTTTTAACATTATATGATGAAACAGTAAGCATTCATAAAACACTTCTGCTGCATACCAAAGAATGATGGTTGTCTCAAGGAAAAGCCTTGTGTAATTGTTTGAGTTGCAGGCTCAACTAGCTGCTTTTTTCATGGAACACACTTTTTAATGGAAAGAATGACTAACAGACAAACTATGGCTGTTCAGATTTGGGTATCTGGCAGACATTTTCTCGAAAATAAACAAGGTGAGACTGTCATTTCAAAAACAACAACTAATAGTATTTGTTGCTAATGATAAAATGACAGTTTTAAAGAAAAAATTAGAATTTTGAAAAATTTGTGTTAACCATTTTAAGTCTGAAAGCTTACATGACTTTTCTGATGAGATCAGTGGTGATATTAATTATTTGCAGCCTTGTAACATATTTTCTGTTTTCCCACTGTTCTGCTATTTTAATGTTAGTCCTCCTATTAAGATGGTAAGGTCTATGAAGGGAGGAAGTACTTAATACTTGTTAGTTTCCTCTTTAAAACCTAGAATTGACTACACAGAACAGTCATTGGGTAAATATCTGTTGACTACCTTGTTATTCTGACTCCTGATATTAGTTAAAATGTGTGTGTGTATATGAGTACGAAGCACATGTGTATCGAAATGAGTTTATAACTATTCTAGACTCTCAGTGACTTTCTGTCACAGTTCTTTAGTTCACTTTTTCTTCATATAACTTGCTCAAATTTTTTCTTAAATTAGTTTTTTTGATAAATGCAAAACCAAGTTATTTGCTGCAAAATTAATCCAAATAATCAAAATAAACAATTCTCTCTTTCAACAAATATTTAATGGCTATATATGGCTTGAAAGTAGGGGTTGGCACACTATGGCCTGTGGGCCAAATCCAGCACTGTCTATTTTTATAAATAAAGTTTTATTGGAACACAGTTATGCCCATTCATTTATGTATTGTTTACGGCAGCTATTGCATCACAACAGCAAAGCTGTGACAGAGACCACATGGCCCACAAAACTGAAAATATTTGCTATGTAATCCCTGATAGAAAAACTTTGCTGACCCTTGCTTTAGAGCATGAACCTTTCAAAAAATGATGTTTATATTTCTTTTTAATTTACATAGAGTATGTTGTATTTTGCACCAAAACATACTTATTTAAAAAAATAAAACAACAACAACAAAAAGAACATTCAAGAGCATTCAAAGCAAATCCTGAAAAAACTGATTTAATCCCCCAGGAGGTTTATGTTCCAGCTCTTCTGTTTAAGATTTTATTATAACTTTTATCCAGGGTTACCTACCAAAGTAAAATATCCATTATCACCAAAAACATACTAGAAATCAGGCTGAGCAGGGTTAAGACCTCTAGAGGCCACCTACTACAAGATTACAGGTGCCCTCTGCTGCTGGCCGTGAATGAATAACTGGTATGGAGCTGGCCTTCCTACCATGAATGACTAGAAAGCTGGACAAAATATGAAACAACTGTTTTCAGAGAGTGGGCCAACAGGCAGAGCTGAACTGTGATTCCTGCAAAAAGGAAACAACTGAGATAAGTCCTGCATTGCCCTCCTCCTTGCACAAGGAAGGAGGATCCAAGCAGAGCACAGCAGTCTTGAAGGACTGAGCAGACCAAGACTGGAGTTCAGAGAGGCTGAGGCAGCAAGGGTTTGCAAGACAGAGCACTGGGAGGGAGCTGTGCAGAGAAAGCGCTCTAGGAATCTGCACGGCGATCCCCTTGAGTTTGATGCTGAATCCTAAGCTGCTGAGGAACAACTGCCGGGAGCTGTAAAGTGAACAACTGCCAGAATTCACACAGGACTAGATGACATTCAAATTCCATCCAGCAGAGCAGCACTACTCACCAAACCCTCAGAGCAATCAATGGAGACTCCAGAAGGGCCAAACTTTGTAACAAGGCTAAATTAGCCCTAAACTAGAGCTGCCCTAACAAAGCTTAACAACAAGCCTGAAAAGGAATGGGCCTCATCCACAAATTACTTAGCTGCCTGCCAAGACAAACGTCAACACTCTTCAAAGAAAGGGGACAAAATCCAAAAACTCAACAACATAATACACACCATGTCCATGTGAAGAAGCAGCAAGAGACAGAGATGACAAATTAGCAAAGATATTAAAACAGCTATTATAAATATGCTCCATATACTCAAGAATATAGAGGAAAAGAAGAGCATATTAAAGAGAGAAATGGGAGATAGAAATAAGATTCCATTTAATTCTTTTTGTCTTTGAGAGCTGAAAAATACAATATCTGAGATTAAAAATTCACTGGATAGACTTAACATCAGATTAGACACTGCAGAAGATAAGACTAACGAACTTGAAGACAGAGCAATAGGAAACTATTCAAACCGAAGCCAGAAAGAAAAAAGCCTGGGAAAAAATCACCCAAGCCTCAGTGACTTATGGGACATTATCAAGCAGTCTAACACACATGTAACTGGAGCCCCAGAAGGAGAGAAGGAAGAGACAGAAAAAGTATTTGAAAGAAATAGTAGCAGAAATTTTTCCAAATTTGATCAAAACTATAAGCCCACAAATACATTAAAGCTCAAAGAACACCAGACAGAACAAACACAGAAAATCGCACCGAGGCACATCACAATCAGATTGCTGAAAACCAGTGATATTAAAAAGAAAACAAAAAGATTATGTTTCTCCCCTGCCTCCATATGTAATATAAAACAAAAACAACTCTAATCCAAAGAAGCCAAATAACATCTTTCTAGATCTTCTGATTAAAAAATTTTGGTCAAGATCACTTTTGTCATTTTTGTAGAGGCCTTCCTTTGCCGGTACCCCTGTCTAAGCTTAGTCTGTCTATTGGGTAATCAAACATGAACAAAATATAGTTAAATTACTGGAAAATAACTTTATCATAATGCATTTGTATACTGTACAATTCACATATGTCAATACTTTTGATTGTATGCTCCTTGAGGTCAGGAATCTTCACCTTTTAGCCTGTAAATTTCTAGCGCAGTTTCTAGCAGCACATAACTGTTCAAACACACATGATTGAGTCTATCTCATTTCATCCTCAGTACATCGCTATGTGGTATGTAGAACAAGATGAGAAAACAGATGCCCGGAGGGACTAAATGATTGCCCAAGGATATTCACAGGGTAAGCAGTATCTCACATCCTAGAGTAATGCCTCCACACAGGGTTACCTCAAAGTAGACACAAAACAAGTAAGTTTTAATTATTGCTTACTTTGAGTTTCCACAAGATCCAAAGCAACACTAGAAGCTGTGTCCATTCCAGAGCTGATGCAGGATTGGAAGTTTTTCAAGGAGGAGAGAGCAGATTCTACACCGCTGAAGGATATAAAACCAGCTGAACCTGAACTGGAACTGGAACGCCCCGGCATCTTGAAATTATTACCTAAGTTTTCAAACACAATGAAATAAGATCTGAGTCAGAATAATAACTACATAGGAAAACAAAACTGCTGTAAACATCCATATGAATGTACCCAATATCCCATAAGTGCCACACTATTACCTACATTCTATATCCCTGGAGAGGATACTAAAGCATTGTGCCATCACCACCAAACACCGATGCACTCAATACATGGGGAAGGTAACTGTCTTCATTTTTTAAACGAGGGAGAACACCCTATTCCAAAAGATCTCTTGATTCTCTGAGGAATTCAACAAGAGCACAGTTCTTTTTTTTTTTTTTTTTTTGTGAGGAAGATCAGCCCTGAGCTAACATCTGTGCTAATCCTCCTCTTTTTGCTGAGGAAGACGGGCTCTGAGCTAACATCTATTGCCAATCCTCCTCCTTGTTTTTTTTTCCCCCAAAGCCCCAGTAGATAGTTGTATGTCATAGTTACACATCCTTCTAGTTGCTGTGTGTGGGACGCAGCCTCAGCATGGCCAGGGAAGCGGTACGTCCATGCGCGCCCGGGATCCGAACCCGGGCCGCCAGTATCAGAGCGCATGCACTTAACCGCCAAGCCACCAGGCTGGCCCTACGACACAGTTCTTAAAAACCTAAAACATAAATGAGTTAAAAAAAGGTAGACTGCTCATATGATGCATTTTTCTAAAAAATGAAAGTAGTGACAATAACGTAGTTAAATAAGGGAGGATTCTGAAAACCTGTAATTTTTAATTTATCTGACATATATACATATTGAATTCTGAAAACTAAAAAATATTTATTCCTGACAATTCCTCTGGGTTCTAATAGATTACAGACTTGGTGAGATCCCCGATTCTGTTTCAGTAAAAGCAGAATTTCTCTATAAACTCTTATCTTCGGATATCTGATCCACTATAACAGTTTCAGTTCTTATCTTCATATTAAACACTCCCTAATCTATACCTTCAACCACCAATTCTTTAACCTTTGGACTACTTATAGAAAGCTGTCTACAGATGTCTTTGCTTAATTCAGAAACCACCTGAAATTCAATCCACTGAAACCAACTAGAAAAGTGGAGAGAATTTATACAGGCTTAGAGGGATGGGAAAGCTGTATCGTAGCAGAAAGAAGGTATTTTCTTAGAATCATATAGACAGAGCACGAATTCAGGCTCTGTCACTTTTCTACTGAGTGACCATGGGCTGACTGCATAAACCTCTCTGAACCTCAGGTTTACTGTCTCTAAAATGGGAAGGAATATCACAATGTGGTCTAGCACACAGTATACAATTAATCAGCATGGACTTGCCCTCCTGCCCTTCCTTTCTAACATGGGAAACTGTCTAGTATCTCTGGCATTTCCATCCTCTCCATTGCCACCACTTTTATCTCACACCTGGAGTACTACAGTAGTTTCTTAACTATTGGCCCTTTTCAATTAGATTCATTCATTCATTCATTCATTCAACAAATAGGTATTGAGTGCCTTACCATGTCAATCATTAGACTCTAAAAAAGACACAGGGTATACAAAGGGAAGGGCATAGAAAAGATGCCCATGATGCTGATTTCTATTTTTGAGGTTTTAGTCTATTACAGACAAACATCCACAATACAACTCTTCTTCAATTCAAATCATTCAGTTAACAAATATTCAGTAAGTAATGTTTTGGAGCATAACGTAGAGGGTCTTAAGTGCAGGATAAAGAATCGGTCCAGTTGGGTCCAAGGGGGCAGTCAATGGGACTTTTAGCTTTATCTGTTTTTTAAAAATTTATCTTAAAAATCAAGAACTGAAACAAACATGGCAAAATGTTATAGATATTACAATCCGGATGATAGAACAGGGTTCTCATTATGTTATTTTCTGGGACCTTCTGTGATGTTAAAATTCCACACCAAAAGAGAGAGAAAAAATATGACTATGAACACAAATGAGAAACCATTGATGATTTTTGAACATCTGCATTTTGGTGAAAGAGTATTTATTTACAGTCTCACATTATTACACCAAACAAGCTGAGACAGTTAACACAATATAAATACAAATATATGCAGTGAGATGGGAAATATATAATATAAATGCATGAAAATAAGGATGGAAAACAAACTAAAGGGGAAAACAGGTAAAGAAGAAAATTTTTACTACATGTGTAATACAAATTTGGCTATGAGCTTCCTGACAATCAAAGCAAAAAGTGAAAGCGACAGAATCCTCTTTCCCCATAAAGAAAAAGTACATCAGGAACTTGGGAAAAATAAGGCTTTCCATGGCAATCAAGGCAGTGTGGACCATCATATATAAGACAATAAAACTCATACTGAAAAATATTCTCAATAATATCCTTACAATAAATGCAACAGTGAGCTTCCTAGGACTGTTTCTTAGGTTATTCCTCAGGGTAAGCTAAAGACAGGACACTTGGGGCAGATACCAGCTCGGTGCCCACCAAACCCATTTCCTCTTCAATCTGGTTATACAGCTAGACCACAGTTTGCAGCCTTCCTTGCAGTTAGCTATGGCCATATGACTGAATTCAAGGCAATGAAATATGAGCCATTTCCAGGCCCAGTCTATATAAACTTTCTCCACACTCTTTCCCATTTGATAGCTTGAACAGGCAAGCACAGTGACCTTAGATGCTCTATACTGAAGATGGAGAATCCCTAGTTCCTATATCACTGCTTGGCGGAAAACTGCCCGCCAATCAGGCTCCACGCATGAAAGAAATAAAAACTTCAATTGTGCAAAGCCGTTTAGGTTTTGGGGCTTACCTGTTACAGCACCAACTGTTACTCAAAAAAACACAATCCTGCAAGAATCAAATCATATGGTTCAAGTATTCAGTTTTCTAGTCAGTCTTGATTCCAGTTTAAGTCTAAATTGTCTAGGGCACTAGACACGTGGTTATCATGACTGAGGAATTGAGTTTTAAATTTTATTTAATTTTAACCAATTTAAATCTAAATAGCCACATGTGCCTAGTGGCTACTGCACTAGTCAGCACGGTTCTAGAGACACAATTATCCAAGTATACCATATATATGAACCATGGGGTAAGCAAGAAGGGGCAAAGCCACAGTATAAACAGGCTATGTTTCCTGGAATATCAATTTTACTTAAAGATAACATGAACCATCATTAGCTACATTACAGAGTAGAATATGAAGGCAATACAGAGTAGGGGTTAAACACCCAGCCTCTGAAGCCAGAGTACCCGAGTTCAAAGCCTGATTTTGCCACTTAAGTAGCTGAAAGACTTTAGGCAAATTATCTAACCTCTCAACGCTTCACTTCTCCCTTCTGTAAAAGGAGGATGATCCAGTGGCTACCACAAGGATTACTGTGAGGATTGAATGAGTTAATATAGATAACAACACACTAAGAACAATGCCCAGCACATAAATCTCATCTTGTGTCTCTGATTGTGTCTCTCCCCAAGCTGACTAAGACACAACGTACACAAGGATTAATACAATCTGGGATAAATGGAAAGTGTCTACCACATGGTAGCTATCCTTATTATCTGAATTCATAATTCACATTACTCCAATGAAACTTTATACTTGCAGAGAGCTAGGGAACACACGGTCACTGCCTTCTGTGAGCATATCAAGGGAAAAGATTCAGATAAGAAGCAAAGAGAATGGATGGGGCACAAAGATGGAGTAGACACACTTTTCCCTATTTCTCCCACAAAGTACAGCTAAGTGCATAAGTCACAGGACAGCCCTCACAACAAAGAAGTATCTGGTCCGAAATATCAATAGTGCAGTAGTTGAGAAACTCTGGTTTAAATCAGCCTCCTCTTGGAGCCTTCCCAGGTGGCAATCAATGATCTTTTTGTTCCCTGTACCTATGGTCTCCAACAAAGTTTAAAACAAGGTTATGCATTTCCCCAGTTTTTCCCTAGCATGTTATTTTGCCTCCCGTAAACAGGCCTTGCCTTATGCCATCCAGGCTGCAGTAATAAAATACCACAGTCTGGGTGGCTTTGAAACAACAGAAATCTGTTTCTCACAGATCTGAAGGCTATAAGTCCAAGATCAAGGCATGGGTTCACAGCCCATGCCTTCTGCTCTCTGCCTTCACATGGTAGAAGGATCAAGGGAGCTCTCTGCAGCCTCTTTCATAAAAGCACTAATCCCATTCCCAAGAGCTCAACCCTCATGACCTAAGCACCTCCCAAAGGCCCCGCCTCCTAATACCATCACACTGGCATTAGGATTCAACATCTGAATTGGAGGCGCACACACATTCAGACCATAGCAGGTCTATAAGATTCTCTGCAGGCAGGACCCATTATTGGCTAATACCATTTCTTCTCTACTGTTCCCTCCTCTTCTCTGTCTGTACAGCACAGTGGTAGGCACAGAGCAACCAATTTATAGGCACTATGCCCACCTCCTTGGTGGGCATGGGAGTCCGTACAAGTTCAGCCAGAGCTGTAGCTCCTTTTTCAAGATGCAGGAACACATGTTTCTTGATGAAGCCTTCCCTTATCTATATAAGCAATTGCTTGTTCCCTCCCTTATGCTGCCACTATTCCCTTCTCCCTCTCTCTCTCCTTCTCTCTCACGCACACACTTCTATTAAAAAACTCAATAAAACTCATCACAACTCTTTGCTCACATGTCTGCCACTCCTTCACCCTGGGAGCAACTTAAACTAGAACTCGGACATATTCTACAGCATTTGAAACAGCTCCTGACACAAAATAGACGATCAGTCAAGATCGGGCCAGAGTCACAACAATAACAGCAACCACCATTTCCAGGTCTCCCACGGTGTGCCATAAACCGATGCCCCCGGGCTTCATTCTCATTGTCGCTAATCCTCACAGCCATTTACATACGAGAAAAGGAAACGGAGGCCCAGAGAGTTTATTTAAACGACACGCCCAAGGCCCTGCTTTTAAAGACAGTTACCAGATTTATTTGGATCAAGAATTCGTCATCTTTTCCCCACACGTTTAGGCCTGAAGGATGGGCAGATGGCGTCTCGGAGAGGGAGGTGAACTGTCCCAGCCTCACTGCTCTGGCGTGAAAAGAACCAGGACCATAACCCAGGTCGACAGACCCCAGGTCAGGGCACCCGCGGAGCGCCCGAGAGGGAGGCGACACCTCCCGCCGCCCTCCCCATCGCCAGCCCCCGCCTCTGCCTTACCTGGCTGCCCGACCTAGCTCCGTCTGGCTGCACCCCGACTCCCCACACCCGGACCCCCACTCCTTCCTCAACTCCCTGCCCCGTCGCTGAAACTGCGAGCGCGGGCTCCGACGTCATCAGCGGTTGCCCGCGAGTGGTCACATGACACCCCGCTCTGCTCTCCGCCCCTTTGGTCATGTGACGGCCCCGGGAGCCAGGGGCGGAAGCCGGGTTCTGGCCGGCTCGCGATCCGGGGCTGGAGGTGGAAGAAGACCCCAGCGGAGAGGGAAGGGTCGGGGACTCCGGCGCTGACTCCGCGCACGATCGCCGGCCCCGCGCGTGCGCCCTGGCGCGGCCCGGGTGACAGGTGAGTCCGGGCGGGGCGCGCGCGCGCCCCCTCCTTTCACGGCCCCCCCCTCCCCCGTCCCGGGGCTGGGCCGCGCTGGTCCCGCGGGCATCTGCGCGTGGGGTGGGGTCTGGATGGGGGAGCCTGGCGTGGAGGACTGAGGGGCTTCCTGGGGCTGGGGCTGCAGCCCAGCCTCTTCATCTCCACTTAGATGGAAATAATTTTCCACGCCGCTGTGGCGCTTTAGGAAGTGATGTTCAGCTGCTTGACCCGCATCTGAGCCTTCCAAGTTTTCGGAAGCAATGCTGTGTGGACGTCGTTATTCCTCTCTTTACTCGCGAGAAATCGGAGTGGTTAGTGAGCGCTTTTACAGTGTGAGGGACCTGGGTTTGAATTCTAGTTCTGCCATGGGCTGTGAGTTTAGGCAAGTCATTGCTCCTCTCTGCACCTTAATTCCCCCACCTATGACATGCTGGTGCCAAAGTCCTTTGCATTTCGAAAAAACGTTCCGAGGGTCCAGATTTCACTATGGTCTCACAGTAAAAAGAAAAAAAACACACCTCACAGAGGCCATAATGGAATACGGTCTCCTGATTCCAAGTGCAGGGAGCTCCCTCCAATATAGGTAATGGGGGTGAGGGGGTGGGAGAGAGCGGTTTTACTGCCTCTGCCCCCAACAAGGACGCTTTCCGGTTTTTCTTCTGTTTTTCCTCATGAATCAGCTGATAGTGATCAGACTCATTTCAGAACTTTTCTGGAAAAGATATGCTGGTCACTTTTATCTTGATCAACAATCATCATATTTTGTTCCTGATAATGGATTTGTGGAGGCCAGTGCTTCCTTCTTTATGGAACTGAGGTTTTATGAAAGGATAAAAATAGACCTATCTTCTTTTGACCTCTGAGTAGGGTAAACAGTGCTTTGTCCCAGGACAACTTATTTCCTTCAGAATTTGGTTCTGTACTCATTGGGTAATTGGTATGATGATCCCGTGCTGCATTCTTTTTTTTTTTTTTTTTTGTGAGGAAGATCAGCCCTGAGCTAACATCCATGCTGATCCTCCTCTTTTTGCTGAGGAAGACTGGCTCTGAGCTAACATTTATTGCCAATCCTCCTCCTTTTTCTCCCCAAAGCCCCAGTAGATAGTTGTATGTCATAGTTGCACATCGTTCTAGTTGCTGTATGTGGGATGCGGCTTCAGCATGGCCAGGGAAGCAGTGCGTCCATGTGCGCCTGGGATCCCAACCCTGGGCCGCCAGTAGCAGAGCCCGTGCACTTAACCGCTAAGCCACGGCCCGGTGCTTCATTCTTGAAAGCATATTGTCCTTTGTCCAGCATTACTTTCCAAACTGAAAACTACAATTCCTTACCAAATTCTTGAAAATAAAGTTATGACCACTTTTCTGGGTACCTTGTAAAAGAAAATTAGGAAATTGAGTTTGGTCTCTGGCTTCATTTTATGCCAAATAGTGATACAGCCTATACTGAGAAAATTGGTCTTTATGAATTTTCTTTGTCCCTAGCACCAAGAGAACCTCTAAGAGGAAGATTTAATATAGCTTCTTCTACAGTGTTTATTTGCACCTCATTTTAGAGTGATTTTTTTAAAGCTCAGCTAAGTCTTAACACCTTCTATGAAGCTACCTACCTCTGAGAGGGCTGCAACATGATTAGGCATCTCTAATGATGGTTCTTAGATTCTGTTCTTTAGGGCCAGTTTTTCAGCCAACAGTGGGGCTATTTACCAAATACTCTAGTCAAATAATATTTTGAAAGTTGCCTACGATGTAACTCTGGAGTAAGGATTTAACGATTAAAGTAAGAGATGGATACACCAAAGTCTTGACTTATGTCATTATCTCAGGTCTAAGCTTCCCTGACCGTGTGTATGCAGATGCTGAGTACATCTGTCCATCTGTTTGTTGGGAAAGAAAGCAGGTAATGTTGTGTTGCTTTGAGCTGTTTTCTCCATGGCCTCATTGTCTGTCCTATACTGGTGTCCAAAATCTGGTAGCAGTTAGACCTGTTAATCATACCTTACCCTCCTCTCAATTGAGTCTAGGGTTTCATCCCGCTGAGACCTGGGTTGGTTTAGTAGTCTTCAGAGGACCTCAGTAGGTGACTCTTTTGCCCATTGTTTATTATTTTTCACCTTTTCCTCTCTCATTTTCCAAGCCAGACCATATTAGTGCAAAAAAAAATGGTATGAAATTATCTGAAATTTAGCCTGTTAGAGATCAATGTGGCTTAACAAGCAAGCATCACAGAGAAAACTAAAAAGAATTGTTAATATTTTATGCCTTAATGTGTCTTATAGGATACCCTCATGAGAGAGAGTTCTAGACAACTGTAGTGGCTTCTCAGTCACAATCGGACCCAACCCCATCCACCTTCCCTGATCTCTGCTTCTATCCCTTGCTCACTCTACAGCAGCCATATCAGCCTCTTTGCTATTCCTTAAGTGCATCTGGCACATGTCGGCCTTTGCACTTACTTGTAACCTCTGCCTGGAATGCCTTTCTCCAAGATCATTATCTATTGTAAAATAACAAACTACCCCAAAACCTAGTGGCTTAATAAACATCTATTATCTTATAGTTTCTGTGGCTAGAAATCAGGGGTATAGCTTAGCTAGGTGCCTTTGGCTCAGGGTCTCTTGAGAGGTTGCAGTCAAGCTGTGAACAGGAGCTGTTGTCTTATCTGAAAGCTCAACTGGGGTTTTGGGGATCCATTTTCAAGCTTACTCCAGTGGTTGTTGGCAAGCTTCTCCATCCCTTATCACATGGGCTCCTCCATGGCTCTCTTACAATGTGACAACTTGCTTCCCCCACGACAAACAAGCTAGAGAGGGTGGCCAAGCCAGAAGTCAGTCTTTTTGCAATCTAATCTCAGAAGTGATATCTTTCATGTTTGCCGTATTCTGTTCTTTAGAAGGGAGTCAGTAAGTCACACTTAAGGGAAGGGGCCTACACAGGGCGTGAATAAGGAGGTGGCGGTCATTGGGGACCGTCTTAGAGGCTACTGACCACACTCAGATACCCTTACTGCTTTCTCCCTCACTTCCTTCTGATCCCTGCTCAAATATCTTAACAGCAAGGCTTGCACAAACTACTGTATGTAAAATAGCACACACTCCATCCCTTTTTCCTGCTTTTTCTTCACAGCAATTATCACAGCCTGATATATAATATATTTATTATCTCTTTCCCACTCTGAAAAGTGTGTAGGCTTCATGAGAGCAGAAACTTTAGTTTTGTTCACTCTCATATCCTCAGGTCCTAAAACAGCACTTGGCACATAGTAGGCATTGGGTAGATATTTGTTGAATGAATGAATCTGTATCATTTGGATGCTTTCACCTGCAAATTATCCAAAACCCAATTAACAGTGGGTAAACCATACAAACAGTTCATTTAACAAGGATTACAGAGGTGGGTCGTCCCACAGTTGAATCAGCAGATCAGTAACATCAACAAGAATTTAGATTCTTTCTCTCTTTCCACCATACCACAATCTGCAGGTTCTTGACCTTTTCTCTCTTAGCCTTATCACCTTATGGTCTCCGGGGGGCTACTGCAGCTTCAGGCATCAAATATTCTTTGGGCCTCATTTAAAGGCTAGAAGAAGGGGATAGCCAGGGCAAAGAGAGAGAAATTTCTCCTCACATACCTCTCTCCTTATAGCAGGAAGAAAAAAATGTTTCCTAGAAGCCCCACCATAGACTTCCTCTTATATCTCATTGGTCAAAACTGAGTCACGTGTCTAAGCTAGCTTCAGGGGAGGTGGGAAAGTAAGGATCTGACTGTTGGGTCCTCTATAGTAAGAAAGGAGGAGGGTGGGAATGATTGTTGAGCCAACAGTTGCTGCTGTCACATCCCAGTAAATTAAGACGTTCTAAATATTGAATCAATGATGGAGACTTCCAAAAGGAAAGAACGAAAACCCTGAAGGATTACACAAAGCTTCCAGGTAATAGATAACTATAGTAGGTAGCTCATAATGGGAGTGAACTTTAAAAATAGGTGACAGACATTGAGGAATGTTTTGCTGTGGCCGCAAAGGAAGCCCTCTCCTGTTAAAAGTCTTGCTGCTTTCTTTTATGTACAGTGAAGTCCTCATTATTTCGTTGTTCATTATTTGAGTTCCTGCAGCTAGAAGATCACATATGAAAGTAAAAGTTGACATTGACATAAAAATTTTAATGAGCTGACCCTTTGTGAGATTGGTCCTCGTTCAGATATTCATGTCCAAAAGTGTCTATTAGGTCCAATTCTTGTTTTTGTTAGTCAGTCTTCCTAATTATTAATATGATGGTGATAGAGCACAATATCAATGCAAAGTAAAAGTGCAAATGTTGGGAAAGACAGGCCTTCATGAAGCTGAAAAATAATTTAGGCTTCCATGAAGTTGACACATGATGACCTAGCTAAATTACAATTAGAGGAGAGAAATGCAACAAAGATGATGACAATTAACACTTCAGAAGATAATGATTTGAAAAAGAATTGGGAGAGACCTTCCCCATCCTTTGGGGAAATGAATGATGCCTTAAAATTTTTTTGCAAAAATTAGCTTTTTAAAAATCATGCTATGAAAGTTCACTATGAAGTATAAGATACTCTATTATCAAAATCACAATTTGATGAAATCAACTTTGACTCATTCTTGGTGTGTCCATTGAATTAGTACATAGTGGTTGCATTTTACTTTAAATTTTGTTAAGTATAAAACG